TTATGGGGTTATTGCATGTTTTGGGGTCCCTGTGTGTTTTATGAAACTGTATTATTTCTGGCCAGCAGATAATTGAGCTTTGTGTATTGTAGAAACTCAATTATCTAGCCTGGCCCAGAGGAGGAGTTTTGTGTTGCATAAATTGTGAGTTCTGTGTGCCAGTAAATCAGTCTTGTTCCAGCATTAAGCCTTGGCTCATGTTTGGGGGAAGGGATACCTACACTCTGGGGATTGCTATAATCACTTACTCCCCAGAGGAAGCTCTTGCAATAGCTTGATTTGTTCCTGTTCCTGCTCTCTGGGGAAAGAGAGGTTCACCCACTGGAAGCTGGATCCTGGCCTTGGGTCCAGGGTGGGTGGAAACAGCAGAGACCCCGGCGCAGTTGCATCGCTGGAAGTGGGGTCTGCAGTGCTGATGGTGTCGGTTGGAGTGCTTGGAGTCCTCAGCGAGCACTAGGAGCATCGATTGGCGGAGGTACTCAGTCGGAGTGCCAGCGTTCGTCACAGGCTCCATGGCAATTGAACTGTGTGAATAGGATCTGAGCGCTCTTCGGTAGTTTTGTGCGCTCAGATCCCAGCTATCTGGGGATATGTGAAATGTCTGTGTGTCTATGTGTAAAAGGTGACTTTATGTATTTTAAAGTGTTTTATGTCTTTTTGCAACCATGTGCTTAATGGAGTCTTGTGTCTGTCCTGGGAGATAATTGAATTACTCTCAATTATCTCCAGGATAGAAGACTCTGAAACTGGTTTGGGCCAGAAAGCCATGCTTCATTTAGTCACAAAGGACTTTCCCTTAACTTTTGAACCCCTGGTCTGATTCGTGCCATTTTTTAATATGTTGTTCCCCTGAATGGATTGATTATGAAAATGTATGTTTTATGTTTGTGACATGTATATTTTAGAAGTTATAAATATTGTGTAAAAACTGTATTCCTCTGTCGGTGATAATGAGATTACCCATTGTGTTCAGTAATCATATCACATGCAGAGGGAGGATTTTGTGTGGGAGTGTCTAGGTGTATTGTACGGATTGATTGGTTGTTTTGTAACGCCCTGTGGGCTGTACTATGTTTGTGGATTGGGAATAAAAGAGACTGTATGTGACAGTACAGGGAGTTCCTGTTTTAACCCTCAAAGTGAAGTGTCGTCTCATTATTGGGGGAAGGATTCATTGTATGCTGTTCCAGTTTGACTGCTAGGAGAGTAAACCTATTCGTATGGTTCCTATTCAACTGTCTACAGCATTCATATGCTTGAGAGGATTCATATGCTTCTCCGGTTCGGTGGTTGTGGTGTCTGCTGCAGTGCTTGGAGTCCTCAGGAAGCGCTAGGAGCATCCTTCAACGGAGGTACCCAGTCGGGGTGCCAGGCGATCCGTTACACTAGTCAAGGCAGGACATCGGTGTCCGACATGAGCTATTTACACCAGAACTCAGTCTGACAATACCACCTATATTAGACGGGCTGACTACAGAGCGTCTAATGTCCAGATAAGCGTTTCGCCTTCGCTTCTTCCTTCCAGAGGGAAGGGGCCAATTCCAATAACCGGTTCCAAATATAAAACCCCTTGTGGGTCTAACGGTATCAGTCTTACCTGTTAGTTTCTGTACCTGGGTTCACACTCATCGACGGAACACCCCGGTACTCACTGCGCAGAAGCCGATGATCTCCTGGACAAAAGGCCAGTGGCGCCGAGACGAAAGGAGGTCCACGCAGTAGAAGACCAGGGGTGCTGCGTGGAGGATTTGGTAAAAGTTTACCGTCTCTAATCTCTGCGCCAGCTTCCATGCGATGAGGTTCCCGGCTGCCAATGCACCAGAAATGTAACCTTGTAAGCATGCAGAAGCCAAACACAGAGAGATGGACACAGGTATTTAGGAAGTAAGAGGCCTTTATTCACATTACAGATCGGGTCTCAGATGAACTCCTGTTCCAAAAGATCTGAGAGACCAACACATGGTGTACATTCCTTATATAGCACTATAACTCCTCCTATTAATAGCTACACCCACATATACCTTTAACCAATCAATGAGCAAAATATAGACTTGTACATCTAGTCAAACCACATGGCCCATCCAAGACAAAGGAAATAAGTGCAATTTCAGTTCCTGCACATGCTCAGTACATTGATGACAGTATCCTAGCTATGTGTAGCTAACTAACTGACACAACATACACATATGCCACATGGAAATTTTGGCCTACTAAATTTACATTCACCAAAATTCCACCACACATTGAGCTAGGGACACAGTGGGTATTTATTGGAGTAGGGTACATTGGGCTAGGGACAAAGTGGGTATTTATTGGAGTAGGGTACATTGAGCTAGGGACACAGTGGGTATTTATTGGAGTAGGGTACATTGGGCTAGGGACACAGTGGGTATTTATTGGAGTAGGGTACATCTAGGGACACAGTAGGGTATCTAGGGACACAGTGGGTATTTATTGGAGTAGGGTACATTGGGCTAGGGACACAGTGGGTGTTTATTGGAGTAGGGTACATTGGGCTATGGACACAGTGGGTATTTATTGGAGTAGGGTACATTGGGCTAGGGTCACAGTGGGTATTTATTGGAGTAGGGTACATTGGGCTAGGGACACAGTGGGTATTTATTGGAGTAGGGTACATTGAGCTAGGGACACAGTGGGTATTTAATGGAGTAGGGTACATTGGGCTAGGGGCACAGTGGGTATTTATTGGAGTAGGGTACATTGAGCTAGGGACACAGTGGGTATTTATTGGAGTAGGGTACATTGGGCAAGGGACACAGTGGGTATTTATTGGAGTAGGGTACATTGGGCTAGGGTCACAGTGGGTATTTATTGGAGTAGGGTACATTGGGCTAGGGACACAGTGGGTATTTATTGGAGTAGGGTACATTGGGCTAGGGGCACAGTGGGTATTTATTGGAGTAGGGTACATTGAGCTAGGGACACAGTGGGTATTTATTGGAGTAGGGTACATTGGGCTAGGGGCACAGTGGGTATTTATTGGAGTAGGGTACATTGAGCTAGGGACACAGTGGGTATTTATTGGAGTAGGGTACATTGGGCTAGGGATACAGTGGATATTTATTGGAGTAGGGTACATTGGGCTAGGGACACAGTGGGTATTTATTGGAGTAGGGTACATTGAGCTAGGGACACAGTGGGTATTTATTGGAGTAGGGTACATTGGGCTAGGGGCACAGTGGGTATTTATTGGAGTAGGGTACATTGAGCTAGGGACACAGTGGGTATTTATTGGAGCAGGGTACATTGGGCTAGGGGCACAGTGGGTATTTATTGGAGCAGGGTACATTGGGCTAGGGACACAGTGGGTATTTATTGGAGCAGGGTACATTGAGCTAGGGACACAGTGGGTATTTATTGGAGCAGGGTACATTGGGCTAGGGTCACAGTGGGTATTTATTGGAGTAGGGTACATTGGGCTAGGGACACAGTGGGTATTTATTGGAGTAGGGTACATTGAGCTAGGGACACAGTGGGTATTTATTGGAGTAGGGTACATTGGGCTAGGGACACAGTGGGTATTTATTGGAGTAGGGTACATTGGGCTAGGGACACAGTGGGTATTTATTGGAGTAGGGTACATTGGGCTAGGGGCACAGTGGGTATTTATTGGAGTAGGGTACATTGGGCTAGGGACACAGTGGGTATTTATTGGAGTAGGGTACATTGGGCTAGGGACACAGTGGGTATTTATTGGAGTAGGGTACATTGGGCTACGGACACAGTGGGTATTTATTGGAGTAGGGTACATTGGGCTAGGGGCACAGTGGGTGTTTATTGGAGTAGGGTACATTGGGCTAGGGACACAGTGGGTGTTTATTGGAGTAGGGTACATTGGGCTAGGGACACAGTGGGTATTTATTGGAGTAGGGTACATTGGGCTAGGGACACAGTGGGTATTTATTGGAGTAGGGTACATTGGGCTAGGGACACAGTGGGTGTTTATTGGAGTAGGGTACATTGAGCTAGGGACACAGTGGGTGTTTATTGGAGTAGGGTACATTGAGCTAGGGACACAGTGGGTATTTATTGGAGTAGGGTACATTGGGCTAGGGTCACAGTGGGTGTTTATTGGAGTAGGGTACATTGGGCTAGGGACACAGTGGGTATTTATTGGAGCAGGGTACATTGGGCTAGGGGCACAGTGGGTATTTATTGGAGTAGGGTACATTGGGCTAGGGACACAGTGGGTATTTATTGGAGTAGGGTACATTGGGCTAGGGACACAGTGGGTATTTATTGAGTAGGGTACATTAAAGGGCCAGTGGGTATTTATTGGGAGTAGGGTAATATCATTAGGGACACAGTGGGTATTTATTGGAGAGGGGTACATTGGGCTAGGGGTACAGTGGGTATTTATTGAGTAGGCTATCATTAGGGGCACAGTGGGTACTTATTGAGTAGGGGTACATCATTAGGGACAGTGGTATTTATTGAGAGGGGCATTGGGCTAGGGGCACAGTGGGTATTTATTGGAGTAGGGTACATTGGGCTAGGGACACAGTGGGTATTTATTGGAGTAGGGTACATTGGGCTAGGGGCACAGTGGGTATTTATTGGAGTAGGGTACATTGGGCTAGGGGCACAGTGGGTATTTATTGGAGTAGGGTACATTGGGCTAGGGACACAGTGGGTATTTATTGGAGTAGGGTACATTGGGCTAGGGACACAGTGGGTATTTATTGGAGTAGGGTACATTGGGCTAGGGACACAGTGGGTATTTATTGGAGTAGGGTACATTGGGCTAGGGACACAGTGGGTATTTATTGGAGTAGGGTACATTGGGCTAGGGACACAGTGGGTATTTATTGGAGTAGGGTACATTGAGTTTGCCACACACAATATGGCGGCAGTGTCAGGTTTAATCTTTGCCACACACAATATGGCGGCCTTTCTTCCGGTGCGGTGATCGTCCGCCAGAAACCAATTCTGTGATCAATTAGTTCCGGGGGAGGGACACATTAGGGGACGGAAAGAGAATGAGTACAAATTGGAACCGGAAAGCAGCAATAATGGAGGGAGCTGGTGAGACTCCGAACTCGGGGATTAATGGGCTGAATGTGGCGGTACGGGGGGGGGGAGGAGGAAGGACTGGGGAGGGGGGGAGAGAGAGGACTGGGGAGGGGGGGAGGACTGGGGAGAGGGAGGGAGAGGACTGAGGAGAGGGGGGAGAGGGAGAGAGAGAGAGAGACTGGGGAGAGGGGGAGAGAGAGGACTGGGGAGGGGGGGGAGAGGGACTGGGGAGAGGGGGAGAGGGAGAGAGAGAGGACTGGGGAGAGAGAGAGAGGACTGGGAGAGGGGGGGAGAGAGGACTGAGAGGGGGGAGAGAGAGGACTGGGAGAGGGGGGGAGAGAGGACTGGGGAGAGGGGAGAGGGAGAGAGGACTGGTGAGGGGGGAGAGAGGACTGGGGAGAGGGGAGAGAGGGAGAGGGGGGGGGAGAGAGGGACTGGGGAGAGGGAGAGGGAGAGAGAGGACTGGGGAGAGGAGGGAGAGAGAGGACTGGGGAGAGGGGGGGGAGAGAGAGAGGACTTTTATAGTTAATTATAGATTTTTGCCTTTCATTCACTAGATGAAGAAGATGATATCTCGTCACATGGAAATCACAAGAAAAAACATAAAAAACACAAAAAACATAAAAAAAGGCATCATCAGGATGGTGTGGGCCTAGCTCTGTTTGCTGACGACACCCCAAAACTACAACATAGGCATCCTTCAATCTCCCCTAAAACGCCTCACAAACACCCTGAGAACTCTCCCAAACCGCAATTAAAACTGAAGATCAAACTCGGGGGGCAAATTCTGGGCACCAAGAGGTAAAGTAGATCTCAAAACTTCAGAGTGAGGAATGTACTACAGCCTCTCCCACAGCGGGGTGACACGGAGACTGCCCCTCCCACAGCGGGGTGACACAGACAGAAGGGAGCTTTGTATATGTATTTCCTGCTTTAACTGTATTGTCTGTCCAGACTGAGTGACGTGCTGTTCTTTTTCCTGCAGTGTCCCCACGTTCACTGTGATCCCTGAGTTGTCGGAGTCCCCGTCTCCTGTCATGGTTGTGGATGATGATGAGGAGCCCTTGGAGGGGGTGCCAATTGAGCAGTATCGGGCATGGCTGGGTGAGATTCTGTATGATTTCATTTGAGGGGCATGCTCGATTCCACTTCTTCTGATAGAAGACCCAGCTAAGGAGCTTCTGGCTCTCTGTCACCTCTCTTGAGCCAAGCCCATGCTTAGCTCAGACAGTGCTTCTGGCTCTCTCTCGGAAGTAGTGGAGACAGGGAGCAACGCCTCGCACATATCCGGTCAAAAGCCAAACCGTTCTAAAACTGTTTGTCTACTTACAATGGGTGTGGGGCACGCTTGGCACCATATCCACTGCAGTACATTGTAGTGAGTCTAGGGGCTGGAGTATTTTATTAAAACTTTAACTGGTCATCAAATCTGTCCATACCACATTTGTAACCTTTTCCTTCAATACCTGACTCCATGTTTGTTGTGAGATTGACTCTTTTTCTTTTAATGCACAGAGTATTTCCTCGGAAAGCAGGTTAGGGCTCCACGGGCAGCTCAGACAGAGGAATAACGGGGAATTCTCATGTTGGTAAAAGGATATTCAGTCCATGCTTTTCTCTGCAGATGAGGACAGTAACCTGGACCCTCTGCCCTCCCCGGTTGGCATGCCAGAGCCCGAGCAAGATGAGGAGACCCGATGGCTGGATGCACTAGAAAGAGGAGAGCTAGATGTAAATGGAGACTTGAAAAGGGAGACTGATGAGACCTTACTGACAGCACGGCAGGTAGGGGAGCTTTGATCCTGGATGGGAGTTAGACAAGGCAACCAATACATTCTTACAGTGGATTACAGAAACACCGGGGTATAGAACTCTACCAGTACTAGGGATCGACCAATATTGTAAGCTGTAATGTAAACACTGCATTTTCTCTGAAACAAATAGTAGGGATCGACCAATATTGATTTTATTTAAAGCCGATACCGATTAATTTTTGAACATTCAGGCCAATAGCCAATAACTTACCGATATTCTGTACATTTGCCATTTAAAAAAAAAAAAAAAAACACAAATCTACTGTTAACTGAACAGGTTTTTGTTTATTTTTTGCAAATCTTTTTCTCTTTTTTTTTAATTAAGGTAAATGCACACAATATACATGCCAGTCAGATTTTTTTGTTTTCAAGAATATATATATGTGTGTGTGTAATGGATGCAGTGAGTCTTTGATTAGTGAATGCAGTGTTTGTGTAGTGGATGCAGTGTGTGGTGTGTTTGTGTGTAATGGGTGCAGTGAGAGGCTTTGATTAATGGATGCAGTGTGTGTTTGTGTAGTGGATGCAGTGAGTCTTTGATTAGTGAATGCAGTGTTTGTGTAGTGGATGCAGTGTGTGGTGTGTTTGTGTAGTGTGTAATGGGTGCAGTGAGAGGCTTTGATTAATGGATGCAGTGTGTGTAATGGGTGCAGTGAGAGTATTTGATTAGTGGATGTAGTGTGTGTGTATGTATGTATATAATGAATGCAGTGTGTTTGTGTAGTGTGTGTGTATGTATATATGTGTGTGTGTGTGTGTGTGTGTATATATATATATATATATATATATATATATATATAACAGAGTTTGTGTTGTGTGTGTGTTTTTTTTTTTTGTGTAGGTATGTAGTGTGTGTAAAATGGGGGGCATTTCTATTTTTTTGTCACTTTAAAAAAAAATTATTTTTTTGTCCCCCTTCCTGCTTGTTACCTGACCAGGGAGGGGGGCTATGGCATTCCCTGGTGGTCCGGTGGCATGGACTGTGCAGTGAGGGGCCCACCAAGCTCTTACCTTCCCTTCAGCTCCCCTGTCTAACTCTTGCCATGTTAACCCATGGCAATGCTCTGACAGCCGCGGTGAGAGCTTGCTGTGGGCCCGGTGGTCCTGATCGGCAATATCGGTATATTTAATGGGCCGATACCAATATGTCCGAAAATAACAAATATCGGCCAGACCGATAATTGGTCAATCCCTAACCAGTACATGTTTATTCTGGGGTATAGAACACTTTTTGTATGGGGCGCGGAGCTCTGTGGGCTCAGTCTGGGACGCGGAGCTCTGTGGACTCAGTCTAAAAAGGGGTGAGGGTGTGAATGCCGTTGCTGGAGAGCAGAGCAGGAGTGTCCGGGCTTGGATAGGGAGTAGGGTTATTATAAATGGGAATTACTGGTAATGGGGATGGCTGCTCTCCCACCTCCTGCACTTCCTGTTTTTATTGCACTGTCTGTTTATCCATTCACATCTGGACCTGCTTTGTTGGGATTTTTTTTAACATGTCTCCTTATCATAAACCATTCTATTGCTTGTCTCTCATCAGAAAGCACTTCTCCAGAAGCAGCAGGCGCAGTCCCTGCCAATTTTCCCACCTGTCATGTTCCCACCACGCCAAGAGCTCTCCGAGGAGATGTTGGTGAAGCGGGAGGAGAAGGCACGTAAGCGCAGGCTCCAGGCAGCTAAGAAGGCGGAGGAGAGTAAGAAGCAGACCATTGAAAGGTTAACCAAGACCTCCAAATCGCGGGGCGCTAAACCTCCGCGGGAGAGACGAGGTCGTCAACCTCCCTGTCCCACCATTCGCTACCAGCACACAGCCGAAGCCATTATGATTTCCTACCCTCTTGCTGTACCTGGTCCAATCCCAGCTGAGCCACGGGTGGCTCTACCTGCTCCAACCCTTTGCAGAGTGCCAGGCTGTGGCAATCCCAAGAAGTATTGCTGTTCGAGGACTCTAGCACCTCTCTGCAGCCTGGAGTGTTACCGAAATAACCTGCTGGGCTTCAGCCTAAACACTGCTGCCCCTGCGGGGGTCACAGAGATTAAAGTCTGCATGCAGCAGTCTGAGGAGAGGGACCTATAGTACACTTCTGTTGTAGCGCTTTTAGGAAATACGAGCATGCCTAGTGTAAAGGTTGTCTTGTGCTGTCTGGCCACGTATAGCAGTGCATCCTGGGAGCATACCGTACTGCTGCTGGACATCCTAAATAGACTGGCTAAAGCAGTGCATCCTGGGAGCATACCGTACTGCTGCCGGACATCCTAAATAGACTGGCTAAAGCAGTGCATCCTGGGAGCATACCGTACTGCTGCCGGACATCCTAAATAGACTGGCTAAAGCAGTTCATCCTGGGAGCATGCCGTACTGCTGCCGGACATCCTAAATAGACTGGTTAAAGCAGTGCATCCTGGGAGCATACCGTACTGCTGCAGAACATCATATATAGACTGGTTAAAGCAGTGCATCCTGGGAGCATGCCGTACTGCTGCCGGACATCCTAAATAGACTGGTTAAAGCAGTGCATCCTGGGAGCATGCCGTACTGCTGCAGAACATCATATATAGACTGGTTAAAGCAGTGCATCCTGGGAGCATACTGTCCTGCTGCAGAACATCATATATAGACTGGCTAAAGCAGTGCATCCTGGGAACATACTGTACTGCTGCAGAACATCATATATAGACTGGTTAAAGCAGTGCATCCTGGGAGCATACTGTCCTGCTGCAGAACATCCTAAATAGACTGGCTAAAGCAGTGCATCCTGTGAGCACAGGGCTCCACACTTCACTCAGATAGTACAGCAGCAGAGCAGGTCACACAGATCCACCACGTACCTCCTTGTGGGGCCGCATTTTAGATAATCTTACTATGTGAGCTCATAAAGATAAATCAGCGGTAGCATTAGCAAACACGGAGATTGTGACATCGCTCTGAGAGTCTGGAATATAATCCTTAGCGCAGGGCTTCATGGGTTTAATGTGTAGATCTACCCCCTCTTCGGAAGGAATCCATATTCCGACGTTACTTGACTTCATGGCACAGTTGTATTCTTAGTAAGAGAGCATCCTTCCTTTACTTGGTTTATGTAGCCCTAGTCACACCCCCTGTGACTCGCACAGCCTGCATCAAAAAAATTGTGTTTTATATTAGAAGTTCTTATCTCCTGTTTTTGTTTATTGAACTTTAATCACACACTAGAGTCTGCTACTAGTGCTAGCAAATAACAGAGATGAGTAGATTAAACTTCCTTTATTGCACTGTCTGTTAAACAATAAATCTCTCTTAACAGGAAATGTGTAGGGAGACTGTAAGTGAAAGCCAGGAGTGGTGTGGCTTGGGCTGCATAAACAAAGTGATTTGACTCCTAAATGGCAGATAACTGAGTAGTGAGGTTGCAGGGGCATGTTCTATACAACATATATAGACTTCAATAATGGGAGACTATAGTCACCAGAACCACTACAGCTTAATTAAGTGCTTCTGGTGTCTATAGCATGTCCCTGCAGGCCTTTTAATGAAAAGGCAGTGTTTATATTGCTGCCTCGTGACATGTCTAGATGCAGTAACTCAGACAGCCACTAGAGGTGCTTCCTAGTCTTATGCTGCATAGTGCTCAGCACCTATGTTCAGGGTGCAACCATTTCAATGGAGAAAAAGTAAGCTTTAATACCTTTTTAACTCCACTCTGATGGAGAGCGGTCACCTTATTCATGTTACAGCTGCTTGTCTCGTTAAAATAAATTTGAAGGAGCACCTCGTTTCTGGATGATTCTCAATGTATATTTCAGTGGTACAAACTCCAGAGAAGGGTCAGGTCCACTTTAAGTCATCTTGGAGTCACATGAGACATTCTAAAACCTTGACTGATGTCCTAATTCAAACCAAGAATGTGGAGAGCATGTGATCTCTGCAGCCAATTAGCGCCTGGGATTAGCAGAGCAGATAAAATATACAAATCCAAAGCTAAACTGCAGTAATTCTCAGCCCAAACGCACCCTGCGTAAAAGTAGGGTCATAATCCAAAACAGCAAAAGCAGAGCAGAAAACAAGGAATTGGCAGAACTGCCTGCAGTCCTTGTAACCGATAATAACGAGGGTATTATATCGCAGTAAATCTAGAATTCCAAAAATGACAGAATTAAAAAAAAAAAAAATAGTAATCTTAATTCAGGAATAGAAAAAATAATTATACACCAGAGTTTCAGTCAAATGCATTTATTTATAAACTATTTGGTGAGAACAACTATGTATAATAATCAAAATCCAAGGGGCCATAGTGACAGGACACAGCATTAACGTAGATAACCGCATCGAATCACATCAATCAGAAAACACCAAATACACCCAAATGGAAATGGGGAAAAACTAAGTTTATATGTTTTGTCACATTCCATTTTCCTTTTGTCATTTTTGTGCTCCTTTACACTTATTTTGGATTGGCAGATTAACTCCCAGCATTCCTCTGTGCGGTGCGGTATGTCAGGCGTGCCCAAAGAAAGCCGAGTTTAGCCCGGAATCTTTATTTACCGTTTACCATAGCAAAAAGAGGAACGGACTGTAAAATGTTAATCATAGAGGTGCAGACGCATTTTCTAAATGACTATATGCTGCTGCATGGACACTTTCTGATTTCATAATCCCATCAGTGCATGTTTGTCCAGAGGCATTGCGGGCCATGAAGGTGATACCAGTTGTACAAAACATTTTAAATGGGTCCTATCAATTTCAGGGATCTTTGCATATAGGGGTGCTGTGTCCTGAGGATACAGCTGTTGGAAGGTATACTGACCCCGTCATGGACGCTAGAGAACGGTCTGTCTACAAGTCGCGGGATGATCCATAGACTAATTATTTTAATCCGTGCGAGAGTATGCCAGGCTCTGCTGCCAGTTACGGCTGTGGGACAGAATAGTCCCTGGTTTGTCGTATGAGAATTTCAGTGAAATTCCAATGCAGTCATTCTCTGAAGACGAAGACCCATTTTTTTTTTTTATTTTTTTTTAAATGGTAAAAAGATCAGCTGTATAATATTTCTTCTCCGTTTAATCGCGCTCACACACAGGCAAGGTCACCCCAATAAAAGTATATATTTTTATAAAGTAGGGATTCTTCACTCTTCATTTGGTATATTGTACATTTTTAAAAGGAAGTTTTTATTGAAAGAAATGTCAATGTTTAATTTTATGCAAACAGAAGGGGAAAGGTTTTTCGGAATAGTGGGAGAACTCCAATAAAACAGTTTTGATATTTTTACCACAAATTTCGGTAATGTGTGAGTAATATTGTGCTTTGTTTTTAATTTATCCTTATACAACTGTTTTTCTGTGTATTAATAAACTGTACATTAACCGTGTAGAATATACTATATTTGCCACTTTTTTACAAAACTGGGGACAAATTACCTATAGGATGTTTGGTTGCTTTCACTGGCTAAACATTACATAATTAAAGTCACTTCTAACAAATATTCTCCTGACAGTAACTACAATTGTTATTAAGAGATATTGTTTTTAAGTCCTCACATTTTTTTGCTAGGAGGGTCTCAAGGTGACATGTCAGATTTCATGGTGGTGTCCAGGAAACTGATGTGAAGAAAGATTTATGTTCATAAACCTCCCCCAATGCCATATCATTCATTGGTCCTGGTGTTTTGCTGACCTGCTCTCATCGGCCAGTGTAAACCCATAATGGTGGACGGATTGACCAGATAGGACATAAGATCTCATGGTGGGAGCTCTGTTCCCATCAGTCAGCATTAACCCACAATGGTGCACTGATCGACCAGATAGGACATGGCAAGATGTCATGGCGGGAGCTCCGTTCCCATCAGCCAGTGTAAACCCACAATGGTGCACTGATCGACCAGATAGGACATGGCAAGGTGTCCGGGCGGGAGTTCCGTTCCCATCAGCCAGTGTAAACCCACAATGGTGGACGGATCGACCAGATAGGACATGGCAAGGTGTCATGGCGGGAGCTCCGTTTCCATCAGCCAGTGTAAACCCACAATGGTGGACGGATCGACCAGATAGGACATGGCAAGGTGTCCGGGCGGGAGCTCCGTTCCCATCAGCCAGTGTAAACCCACAATGGTGCACTGATCGACCAGATAGGACATGGCAAGATGTCATGGCGGGAGCTCCGTTCCCATCAGCCAGTGTAAACCCACAATGGTGCACTGATCGACCAGATAGGACATGGCAAGGTGTCCGGGCGGGAGCTCCGTTCCCATCAGCCAGTGTAAACCCACAATGGTGGACGGATCGACAAGATAGGACATGGCAAGGTGTCATGGCGGGAGCTCCGTTTCCATCAGCCAGTGTCAACCCACAATGGTGGACGGATCGACCAGATAGGACATGGCAAGGTGTCATGGCGGTATCTCCGTTCCCATCAGCCAGTGTGTGACGAAACGCCTTTTGTCACCGGATTTTCCCCTGGCTGTTGGAGGAGCCTGATTGCCAGCCTCTTGCCTCATGACTATGGCCCTGGGTTATTTGGCCCTTCAAGTACAATATTTGGGCATATTGGATTTGTATGGTGCTGCTGCTGGCCCTTTAAAAACCATCCCTGGACATATTATGACTTTTAGGAACAATGTCCCTTTAAGACTATTTGGGGCTTATTGGCTTCTAAAGACAGTTTCTTCCCATTGGAATCCATGGGAAGGTGTGTTTCTTCCCCTCCCCCGTTTCCTGTCTATTGTTCACCTAGATTGGGCGCTCAGATCCGAGCTATCTGGGGATAGGTTAAATGTGGGGGTTCTGTGTAATAAAATAAGAATTATGTATTTTTATGTACTTTTCCGTATTTTGGCTGTTAGTGTTTAAATGTAGATATTTTCTGTACCTGGAGATAAATGAGTTTACTGCAGTGCCTTAAGCCAATTATCTCCAGGATGGAGAGGAGGGATTTCATTGTGTATGTGAGAGTGTTATCATGTTAATTAGTGTTCCCATTGGTTTGTGTCCCTTTTGTCACAGTTTACCACCAGGTCCAGGGGGTGTGCCTCTGACCTGAAAACTTGTATATAAGGAGTAATAAACGCTCATTGGAGTCAGATCATCTTGTACCTTCATGAAGTTTCGGCTCATGTTTGGGGGATTGGAGAAACTACACTCTGGGGATTGCTATAATCACTATACTCTCCAGGGTATAATCACTAAGCTCTGCTAAGAGCTTGTTCCTGTTCCTGCTCTCTGGAATTCGGAGAGAGGTCGACCTGCTGGAAGCTGGACCCTGGTCCTGGGTCCAGAGTGGGTGGAGACGGCGAGACCCCAACCAAGCTGCGGCGGTTCGTGGGGTCTGCAGTGGTTATGGTGTCAGGCAGAGTGCTTGGAGTCCTCGGAAAGCACTAGGAGCATCCGTCGGCGGAAGGTACCCGGTCGGGGTGCCAGCGGTTCCGTTACACAGTGTAAACCCACAATGGTGGACGGATCGACCAGATAGGACATGGCAAGGTGTCATGGCGGTAGCTCCGTTCCCATCAGCCAGTGTAAACCCACAATGGTGCACTGATCGACAAGATAGGACATGGCAAGGTGTCCGGGCGGGAGCTCCGTTCCCATCAGCCAGTGTAAACCCACAATGGTGGACGGATCGACCAGATAGGACATGGCAAGGTGTCATGGCGGGAGCTCCGTTTCCATCAGCCAGTGTCAACCCACAATGGTGGATGGGTCGACCAGATAGGACATGGCAAGGTGTCATGGCGGTAGCTGCGTTCCCATCAGCCAGTGTAAACCCACAATGGTGGACGGATCGACCAGATAGGACATGGCAAGGTGTCATGGCGGTAGCTCCGTTCCCATCAGCCAGTGTAAACCCACAATGGTGGACGGATCGACCAGATAGGACATGTCAAGATGTCATGGCAGGAGCTCCATTCCCATCAGTCAGCATTAACCCACAATGGTGCACTGATCGACCATATGGGACATCCTGTTTTGCAGGAAGTGCAGTCAGACACCTGTCCTGTTTGTAGGTGACCTCCAGATAGGGACAAAATGGTGATGCGATACATGAGTGTGTGGGGAGTGTCGGTGTGCTGTGCTCGCAGAGTTAGTGAGGTCACCCTAAGACTGCTTATTATTGGAGCCGGGAGACCAGGAGACCGGCGATTATAAAATCGGATATGCACATATAAACGCCTGAATGTGAAGAGTGGGAATACCACAGGATATTCACAGGATTGCGGCATAAGACATAAAGATGAAATAATAAATGTGCTTTGATCTTTGTGGAAAACTAAGACTCAAATAATTTAATGAAGAAGTACTTATAAACCATATTGACTTATTCCTTTGATTGGAGGGTTACACAGAAAATTCTCTATCTTCATAAATAATCCTAAAACCTGATTCTATTCTGTGAATCTTGCGATATTAAGTGGACACATGCGAGTTCTACCTGCTAAAGATGTAATTCCAGCTATCAAACTTTAAATAAGGAGCCTCTTCCCAGGGAAAGTCAGATAAGGTTTTATCAGAAATCACATTAAGCCGCTCAGGGAAATGAGTAATGAAAATGGAGACCTATTTCGGGTTTAATAAGGACCACAGCGAACACGTTCTCAAACTATATGCGCTCTTAAAAATGTCTCTCCCTTTACTTTCTTTTTCCCTTTATGGCGGCTGCTGCATGAATATAAGAAGAAATTCAAAAATTGAAAGTTCCTAAACTCCTCAGATTTATTAAGAATCTGAAAATGTGGTTTCTGACATAAAATCTGATCTACTCCTCTTCAATCAGGCGCAATACACACCTAACCTTTAGCAGTAATACTATTAGTCTAAGTAAGAACAGAGAGAGAGAGAAATTATAAATTGTAAATATTGTTCCAAAGAAGGATAAACCTTGTAGGCCTGATGATAAATCGCAGTCTAACGCTATAATATTATTTTTATTATATTATTATTATCCTAAATCAAACCGCACAGTAAGACAATCTCTGCCAGGATCATCACAGGAGGCTCGTCCGCCCCTCCAACTCATATTGATCACACTATGCTGTCTGAGGTCTCCGTGTTAGAGATTAGACTGGATCGTCATTACATCAACTCAGCAAAATCATTTCACCTTAATCACATTGATTAGAATTTAACTAATATTATGAATTTATCAGACAGCTCCTCCCCTTTATCCTTACTGTCTCAGTCTATCCATTTACATATTTATTATTACATTCTGTGTGTTTCTTTGTTATTTATTATTATTACATTCTCTGTGTTATTATTACATTCTCTGTGTTGTGGTTTATATTATTTATTATTACATTCTGTGTGTGTGTTTTAATATTTATTATTATTACTGTGACGAGACCAATCTCGCCACTGGGCATTGGAGAAGACTGATTGCCGGCCTCCTGCCCTGTG